TCCCCCCCCCCCTCTCACCTTCTTCCCTCCCTAGAAAGCCATCGTGGACTCGCTTAAGTTTCGTGGCTATTGTGAACAAAGCTGCTTCCAATAATCAGATCGTTCTTGATGATTCTGCTATTCGTCATTTTTTTCTATCGATTTTCATCTCTTTTATCAAAGAATCCTGAATTCACTATATTGTTCTTATTGCGCTTGTCCTTCTTAAGTACATCCATTAACGATTCTCCCATGTTTGCCCATAATGACTTGCAGACATAATCAGGTTCGGGACGCCAAAACTCTCGGTAATTTGCTGGGAGATAATCAGGTAGCCATCGCAGTGATTATTTCCGAAAAATAAAAAGCAGTAATACAAAAAATACCTGGTTTCTCAATACATACTCGTAAAGCAAAATCGACATCATAAGGTACCGAATTCTTGCTATAGCCATATTTCTCAAAATACTCCAACAGTTCTTCGGGTTTGAACCTAAAAACACAGAAATGATTATTAGCATGCTGCGGGCTGGCTTCATCGCCACGGCATTCATTTAGGACAAAATATTGAGAGTATATTAGAGTCGATAACTAAAAAGAAAACAAATAAGTATCAAAAATTGCAAAATTCAACGGAATGGATGCAAAAATTAGCTACAAACGTACAAAATGCAGTCGTAGCGGCATAAAATTCTGCAAAAAGAGTACAAAATTTGTCTAAAAAAATAAAAAACTTAAACAAAAAAGTTTCAGATTGAATAATCAAGGAAAAAAGCATTGTAATTAGCGTTTATATGAAAAAAAGAATTAAATTCAATCAAACGAGGTACCAGAATTGCAGGCAGGATTGTTCCAAGTAAAATCGTAATCAGAAAAAACATGAGTAAAATGCAAAAAATTACTCGGCACAAAGTGATATCATAAAATTATGCATTGCTCGGCTTGCCAGATTTTCATTTATCACAAAATTAAGATATTTCAATGCAGCCGTAACCTGCAAAATCCTCATATCCTTAACGAGGAAACAATATTCTGAATATCCAACAAAAAAATATCCTCGAATTTTAATTTTAATTTTAGTTGGTATATGTTTATGAAAGATTGTAAGGAAATAAAGAAGGGGAATGTGAATAAAATAAGATTAAAATCTGAATGGGAATGTTTCGGTCCATGAATAAAAGCTCAAGAGGCAATTGAAGATTCCGACGTTACAATATTTTTAAAATATCCCTCAAATTTCCTAAGCCAGCAAAAATCCTCGGAAACCTATTTCTTTGCAAAATCGCCGATTTCAAGAAATCCAATAAAATTACTTAATTTGCTAATGACGAACACAGAGCTATAGCAAGCAGTACTGTTCTCGTGATGAAACTCAAGGGGTCGATTTTACCAGCAAGACAAGCAAAATTTCGATGATTTGTTTACACTTTTCGAAATTTACGTAAACTTTTTCAGGAAAATAATATTGAGAACCTTGCCGGATCACTGTCCCTTGAGCCAGTTCCAAGCTCCTCCATCTTCCAAAGAGAAAGGGCATAAAAAAAAGGGAGTTTTGGTTTTTCACTTTAAAAATGTCGTCAAAAAAGCTTATAAAATATACCATTTTCGTATTGGATACATCTTGACATCGATACAGTGCTGGTAGAAGCCGATCCGAAACAAGCGCTTTACCTTCTTCAATCCATGCTGCTATCAGTTCTGTTGGGATTTTCTCGATCAATAACGGAGAATGTTTGTAGTACAGTTCCAATAGATGCTAAAGTTTACAAATAAATTTACAAAACTATTTAATTTCAGCAAAATTTTTCCAACTGAAAAGATTAAAACATTCCCAAAAACGTCTTTTATAAATCCGGAAACTCTTCGCTGCTTCTAGGTGTAAACGAATCAAGGCAAAAAACAAAATTTATTACCTGTTTCTGAATTACTTCCAGCACTCTTTCGTATTCCGACTGCAACAGATGAACATTTACCACTGTTGTGTGATCTGAAACTGACATCAATAGAAAGTACCAATTAACAAGGAGTCGAAGGCAGCTGCCCAAACGTCTGGAAAGCAGTAAATGTGGCGATAAAAACACATCTGAACGTTTTTGAGGAGTTACATGAATGCAAGTTTAATGGGACAGATATTTTACAATTTAAACTAATTTGAATAAATTTACAATAAACTGATTTACAATATGAAATAATTTGATCTAATTTGAACTATTTTACAATTTGAACTAAGAAATGTATACGACTTAATGGACCGAAACATTTCTTACTAATAATAATATATTTTACAATCCTTTTCAAGTTTTATGAATTTCTTAATACTGTGTGTTTTTTATTCTCCTAACATTAAAATATTTTTATTACATGAGATCAATAAGCAAATATGATTTGGTCACATGACTGAAGAAAGATGCCCAGAAAAGAATCCCCGGGATTGGGGCTAGACAAGCATTCGAAAGGAGAAAATCCAATTTGCTTACCTTCTCATATTTACAAGCTGTTCACGAAGCTCAATGGAAGAAAAAAAAATCTAAGATATTTAAAAAATCTAAAAACCTTTTAATTTTTGAGCCAAATATAACTGTATGTCGAAATGTGCATGTGCAATAATTAGTCGATATACGGCATCACGACTTGATTCCACTGTTGCCTGTAGAATTCAGATTTTCACAATCAACAGGAAGTCAGTAGCAAAGTATTCGTACGACAAATGTTTTATTCCATAGGATGTAGTTTTTCTCGATCTATATGTTTTAAGCCGGCAGGCGCAGCACAGTAAGATAATTGGCCAACGCACGGGCTGCTCGTGCGAAGATGCGTTTTTTGCATAGTTTCCCGCAGCTTTTGTCGCTACCGGCATCGGTTTTTTTCGGCAAATGCTTCTGCTGAACAAATTAAGACTGGCACCCAGAACTGTCAGGAAACATTTTTCAGCTTCCTAGAAAATTTTTCAGCTTCCTAGCTTTTTTGGCTCCTGAGTTATCACCTACTTGGACAAGGAACATTCCCCTAAGATTTCAGCGTTCTGGCTTCTCAGATCCCCGAATTATGAATTTACCCAAAAAAAACTTTGGCGGCCCGTACGCGGGTACCACGCGGGTGATGGCGCCAATTTTGAGGATTGGGGACAGCACGTGTATGCAGATTAAGTTCCCGAAATTTCAGCCCTGCAGTTTTTATAGGTCTTGAGATGTAAGTGCGTGACAGAAGCACACACAGACACGCAGACGAACAGATACACGGACACACAGACAACCTCCTGTCAATATGCGTTTTTGCATTGCATAGCTGCAAAAACGCATAAAAATAGCACTATTGTTGTGCAGTATGCCACCGATTCAAATCCGCCCTAGAACAACCAGTCCCTCTACGATTCGTTCATTCGTCTTGAGCACAAGCTGGTACTGCCACATACCAGGGAGTCAACCCCGCTACCAAATTACTTGCAAGCAATCATGGAAAGAGAGGAAAAGGGGACACTGATAGCCTTGTCAGCGGGTGATTGCTGTCGGTTTTTGCTACCAGTAGGACCGCTTCAACCTCTCACAGAGAACAAATGCGGCGAAGGTTTTGTCTTCTGAAATGATTTTAAGTATTTAGGTCTCGGCAGCGTGATTAAATCTAATTGATCTTTTTTTCCTAAAAACCTTCATAAGCCCTTAGTGAGCCTTTGAAAAGTGCTTGGCCAGTAACAATGTCTAAAACCGTAGCATGTTATAACATGGAGTCTCAACATAACATGGAGTCTTAGCTCTCCAATTTTAAAAGACAATACTGACAAAGCATGACTACAGCCAGAAAATGTCTTTGGCTCTCGACCAATTTTAACTCAAAAACACCAAAAAAATCACCAGAACGTTAGACCGGGCAAGAAATAATTCGATTTGCTGCCGCATATTTTTGATTTGCTGCTCGGCCGGTGTTGCTTCGGTAGTTGAACTAGATTCCTCCCCAAAGGCTTGCTTTCCAGTGCGTCTTAGCTCCGCAAATTCTGCCAATTGAACTTCGAGGAGCCAAAGAACGAGAGCATCGCGTCGTATTTTATCCTGAAATTTCAAACGTACTGATAGATTTTAGTAAGAAAATAAGATTGACCTTTGAAACGCACTTTCAAGGAGACACATCCCAGAAGTCTAAAAAAATCTTATTAACTAAAACAAAAAATTATTCAGAACAACCCGTTCTGCACATTTCCTCCGATACCTTGGCTTTTCTTATTGACAAGTAGAATGTCTCTCTGTTTGAAAAACGAAATTGCCACTCCATCGGTGGGTAAATCCTCTACGACCCGTTTTGATTGGTATTGGCCGATAAAAGATAGACAAAAGCCACTTTACATTTAAGTCTCCATACAACTGCCGCTGCCTCTCATAACCAGTGAGATAAAAAAGGATTTTATCTTTTGATTACTTTTCAGACGATCTGAAGAATTCCTTTTCAGCCGAACAATGATCACTGTCATCCACTTTTTCAGTGAGGACCACTCCTATCCATGCCCCTACTAGCGATCGCAGCCTAACAAAACAAAACTGCTAGTTCAGCTGTTGAGAAAATAACGTATTTATGATAGCAAATAAGAAAGGAAACATGAACTACCAAGGTCCAACTTGATGGACCGAAACATTCCCATTCAGATTTTAATCTTAACTTATTCACATTTCCTTTTTTATTTCCTTACATCTTACATAAACACATACTAACTAGAATTAAAATTAAAATATCATTTGGTTTCATCGCCTTCGAAAAATGAGGGGAAAAAAAAACAAAAACAAGAACGGTATGAGCTTCGCTCAAGGCAATACTAAAAGTGGATCAGCAATAGCTCACACCTGGTAGATGTGAAGTTACCATTATCAGGAAAACGAACACCGCCCGGACAATCAATAAAAAGTATTCACATTGGCGATATTTCTTTAGTATAACTAAAAAAACAAGGCTCAAACTAAAGTAGAA